AATCTTGTCTGAAATCTTTTTAGTCAATCTCTCTGTATTTTCTAAAGCCCATTGTTTCTAACTTAAAACGCTCTTAAATTTAGAAAATGTTTTAGTTTAAATACAAACACAGACTTGCTGTTTAGTCTAAACAAGGAAATGGTAAAATGGACTGCGTTTATATAGTTACATATATGTCACATTCACCCATTCATACACAACTGCTCATCAGAAACATAAACTGTCCCATCCATATACACTCACACACCAATGGCACAGAATCATTAGCAATTTGGTGTTCTTGTCCAAGGACACTTCGACATGCAGAGGGAGGAATCGGGCCAGAGCCACTTTATCATTTAAAATACTGTTAAAGTTTGAGTTCATTTAAAGGAACACAGCTGCAGAGGTGAATCCAGTATTCTGATAATAACCTCCTGAAAGCCAATTAAAAATAGATTGTTGCTCAGAACAGTGGTTATAGCAGTTATCCAGGCACAAATGTAATTGTACCCAAAGTAATTACAAATGTTTTAGTATCAAACAATGTTAAAATGAGCAAGAAAGTTCTTCTCCCCATGGCTGCAATGTTTTGTGTGTAGTAATGTGGGAGAAACAGGAAGTGTCTGGTGCTCTGCTGCTCTCTGCTGGTCTGATTTAGTATGTCATATCTGAACCAGCTTCAATGTCAGTGAAATAATGGTGAATTAAAATGATGTGGATGTTAATTTCACTGATTAAGGGATAGAGTACAGTGAGGCTTCTAGTAATAAGATTCCCTGAGGCACATATCTTGGATCTCAGTTATTAATTAGAACGACTAATCCTGACCTCAAAACCCAGTCAAATATGACCTCGGATCAGTACACAGGCTGACAATTTGACCCACCTGTATTACTTAGCGGAGGATTTCACAGAACAGTTTCACTGATTTCTTGACATGTTATTAGTGGAACTACAGACGGGGTCTTAGCAAACATGAACAGGATTATTCAAGGAGTGGATTTTGGAGTGTTTCCATGATTAATAGGCTGTGAGCTGACCTGTTTCCTCAGGCCATCCTGCTGCCTGTTAGTTACAGTAGTTAATAACCATCATCTCAACATGCTGAGGAGAGGCTTTACACTACTTCATTGAATAGGTGGATATCATCAGACTTGACAATAATTCACCTAAAGCCTTTTAATGTCTTACAGCAAATGTTTCAGCAAATACAGGCATGTCTGTATGCACAAAAGAACAAGGGAAGGGAAACTATACAAGCCTCTAACAAAACTTTGAAAACAAGGAATATAAAGGGAGATTAAGAGGGTTCACTCTTATTAAAACAGAGTCAAAAAGGAGATTGAAGAGCTTTGTTTCTAACACCCTCTCCACAGAATATCTTAAAGAAAAAAGGTTTTGTGGTGAGTTTATATATTATTATATCTTCATACATTCACAAAATATGGAAAGTGCGTACTTTTCTGTAATGTGAATCTCTGTTGTTCAATGGGATTAATGTGTGTGCATTTATTAGTTTGTATAGCATCGGTTAATGTGCGATGTTTATATGTGTTTGTGTGTATCATGCTGCTGAAGGCAGACTGTGGAGCCCCTTTTACACAAACTGGTGAGTATTTGTGGCTATGTTTTTCTCTCCTGGCATGATGCCTCCGACCCCCACAGCTCCCCAGCTGGCAGCTCAGACCAGTGTGACCCAGTCACCTTTGACCTCAGCTGGGAAGAGCCTCAACTGCAAGCTCCAGGATCCATGAGTCACACAGGGTGCGACGCATGGAATGAAGGATGATTTCCAGCAAAATGGATTAGTGGTAGAAGCATAATGAAATACAAACATACAGTCAGACCAAATCCCCAACCTTAAGCATATTAGTGCAGTAAAGCCTGGACACCCTTCTTTTTTTTCCATCGCTCTAAGCACTGGCAGATTTAGACAGATTCAGAAACAAAGCTGGCAGAAGTGTCCAGAAAATATAATAATAATAATAATAATAATAATAATAATAGTAAAATGATAAGCAGAATGAATAAACTGAAGTACTGTGTCTCTGCCAATGTGATCAATTATGTGATCTAAATGGTCTTTGGCGTTGTCTTTTCGAGGAGTTTCCAAGATAGTCTGTCACTGTCAAGGAAACTTTCTGATCTAAAGGAGAAGAGAGGAGAGGAGACAGAGAGCAACAAGAAGAAGAGGAGATCAATTAGATGTCCCTCAGTTATCTTCTTGTCAACTCTGAGACAGATAAACAGACAGCTGCCCACTATAGATTAATTACATAGCAGCGTTCATTAATCTGAGCCCTGTCAGCCAGTACATCTCATCGCCGCCCCTACCATCCATTCAACGCTCAGTTTCTACTCCTTTTTCCACTCATTACACTGCTCTCCTGTTGTCTTTTCTCCTCTCATTTCCATTCACACACACACACACACACTTTCATCCTTTTCATCCTGCATTTGCAATTCTCAAGGTCACTGTCAAAAGATCGATTGAAAGCATTATGAATGTGAAGGAGTTTACTACTGTACAATATCATTATGTGTTATACTTTGTGCTAAAATGGTGAACACGGAAAATATTATACCTGCTTAACATCAGCATGTTAGCATTGCCACTGTGAACATGTTAGCAGGCTGGCATTATCATTCAGCTCAGAGCCCTACTGTGCCTCAGCACAGCACACAGCTGCTAGCATGGCTGCAGATTCCTAGTCCGTCACTGACTGAGATCACAACTTCATATTGAATGTGAAATAAAGTGATGAAAACAGTGAAGGTCCTGCAGTAAACATCAAAATTAACAACTAGATGTTAGCTAGGAGTTAGCAAATATTTATATTTCTGCAGCATGTATATATTACAATGTGTAGTAAATGTGAATTAAAAAACAACATAGCATTCAATCCAATTCATGTTATACATTCATTCTCATTTTTAAAAATGTAGTAAAGCAGAATAAACCAAATTTCTGATACAAATTTTTACCCTGGGATACATTTGAAAATATGACAAAAAGTAATGTCATCTCAAACTGTATTTTTTTGTAAGGGCAATATTATCCCTTCCATTTTCAGTTCATGAAAATTATTTTGTTTTCTCGTCTGGTACAGCCCATCAAAATAGATCTAATAATAGTACAGCGGAGGCTTATGACATAATAGAAATGATGCTTACTCTAATCTGCCCCTAAAATGCTGATAGATGGATCCAAAAGTGATTTTCATTCAATATTCTTCCACAATGAAAAAGAAAGAAGGTGATTTGAAAAACACTGAACTGGGAGTTGTAGTTTACTATTTGGCCACATGAGGATACTGCAGGTCCGGTCATTCATTTTGAGAGACACTGGCTTGTCCACAGTGATTATGTGGTTCACTTCAATATGATGCAAATATCCACATTTGAGTTACGAAGGGACACAAAGAAGCACATTTATACAAGTCTACAGGGCAAAAATGATTAATGTGTTCAAGAAGATCAGAATTTGAAAAAGTCACTCTACAGTTTCTCATCAGGACACTGGAAGGCATTTCCAATCCACTACAAACTTGCAGCTTTTTAAGTATGATACACCAGTCATCTCAAATCAGTTTTTCCTGCAACAGTCCTTCCCTATTTAAAATTCACAGCCTAAATGTCCTTCCAAAAAAACCCACATTCAGACACTGAAGGATGGTTGTTAGCCAGGACATTTTGAGCTGCCCTGGCAAAGCACGACGCACGTTGCTGAAAGCCAAAATTCCCCCACCGACTGTGGCTCTGAAGCCTCCGTGAGAGGTGATTTGCAGAGTGTGACTGTGAATGGCAGCCGCGAGAGAAGACAAAGTAAGAAAGCAAAGGAGGAGGAGCAGAGTGGAGGAAGGAATGAGAGGGGTCTAAATCAATGCCATCCACTTCAGCTCAGTGCCAAGAAAGACAGATGCTCTCTCTGTCTGTTTGTGTGTGCATGAGGGTGCATGCCTGCGCAGACTCGCATCAATCAGGAGTTGTTTTCTATTAAGTAAGTCTATTTCTGCTTTGACCAATTTAATCCTCAATCAATGTAAGACGGAATATAATACATACCGAGTCAAATTCAAATTAAACTTGAAATTAAATACATATCAATCAAAAGGTCCAAATTTCTTTTTCTGTCCATTAAGAAGTTGAATGAATGCCACAGTCATTGTGTATGATAGGCTAGTGCAAGAATGCATTTTGGCACGTCTGGAGCAAAGAAATATGATGATGGAGGAGGAGGAAGAGGAGGAAAATCTGTGTCCATAAAAAAAACAAAAAGAACAATCTTCAGGCTTTTGGGTTACAACAACTTATAACAAGCAGACATGTTGGAGATTCTGTAAGCACTTGTCTAGACCTCATTCATTCTCGGTCTGGACAGTCCACTGCCTTGGCGCTCACCCAGTATCATTAATACACACTGCTATAAAATGCCTCCTCAAATTAGCAACTCTCTGTGTGCACATGTCAGAACCATAATAGCCCGCTTCCCTATTCAATAAAGACCCAGGTTAGCATTTCTACCCCTGAAGCAAGGACTGGGTGACCCTGTTAAATCAGAAACACTATCTCTCTCAGCTCCCTTTCCATATGTATACATACAGCAAACCCAGCAATGCTACAAAAATAACTCTGCCATGCGATGCTTTGAGCACAAACCTGCTCTCTCTCTGGAAACATGAGAAAACAACCTTCACTCTATACAGCTATAATTCATGGTGTGTCACAGTTCAGTGTTAAAAATGCATCAAAAATAGACACAGGTTTTACACGCAGTCAAATATGTTACCCGTTAAACGCCAATATCTGTAATGTCAGCACAAAACAACGGAATAAATGCGGAATGGAACAGCTACTATCTTACCTGCACCATCACTGTTTGGTCTAATATGTTTTCACTAAGTGCTGGGAACTGCTGGCAGTGAGAGCTGAGACCTGTTGCACAGACAAATCTGCATAGCCAGCATACCAGCATGCAGTCTTGGCTCACCAGAAGTAGAAACAGTTGAACACCCCACCTGTAACTGTTTATGAATCGTCTGTGCCTGGGGTTTAAACACCACCACCTCCTCAGTCTTCACTGCTCCCACCATCTGCCTCAGCTGCCTAAGTTTCCCCATCTCTGTCGCTCCGGCCCTGATCTCTGCTGCTCCTCGCCCCCCCGCCATAATAGGTAACTCTGGCCGGCTGTAGCTGCATCCAGCCCGGATCGACTGGAAGTCTGGCTACCCTCAGCTACCCTCTGGAAGACCCAATGATCAAGTTTCCTCCTCTGTCACCTGCCAAAGAGCTGATGGGGGGGAGGTGGGCGGCTGTGCTCTGCTATCACTGACCCACTGACATTTACAGTAATGCTGTACCAGTTATCACCCGGCATGTCATGCCTATTGTCACATGCCTTTTATTTTCAATGCGCCACTTCACTCCTTTGTCTCACTGTCACACAGTGAGGCAGCCTTGCTCCTGTCTGACCCAGACTGAATGTCCAATGTCAAAATATGAAGATTCAATGTCATTTGTGGATGAATTACAGTAAAGAAGACTGAATTTCCTGTTATCTAACACCAGAACTGTCACAATTTGAGAAAGCCAAAGCCACAGTACTAAAAAGTATAAATCTATAACGCTAGATGACTCTTCAAACAAAACTAAAACGAACAAATCAACCAAAATGATTTAAAATAACATAAACATTTTTAAAAAGCAGATCCTGGCAATGCACCGTACAATTCTGGATGCATTTTGTTGCATATAAGGATGAGATATTTTCAGGGCAGCTCTAATGGGTTTGACAGCACAGAGATGTTCAGTTACCTAAAATACCAGCGAGCTCTCTCCACCTACACTACCTACAGCACATGTAACCCACAGCCGAATGCAAGAAGTTTAGCCATGTACTCTGGAGGCTGTCAGCAGTCATTCTGGGAAATGCAAGAAATCACAAACAGGAGAAAAGAAAGACAAGGCAGGCTGAAGAAGAGAAGGCACATCAAGAATGTAAAGTACATCTTCATTGCATAATAACTCCTGGAATGCATTGCTCATCGTGGAATGATACATCTGAAAATGTGTCTATCCTAAGGGTGGATTTCACCTCTGAGTCTTTATTACAGAAAATATGATTAAGCACATATGGACCTCCACTGGCTTTCAACCAAAGCACAAAATGTTAGCTCTAATGCAAACCAGTGATGTTCACACCCTGCATGTCATACTCTCACTTGCCACATGGTTCCCTTCCTGCAGCCCCTGCAGCAGTAACACCAACAACAACCTGACAGAAAAACACCAATTCATCCCTAAGTGGAAACATCATCCTTCATGCCATCTTCCCCAACCTTCACTAAGAAAACTGCCTTTGAATATGTAATTTAAATGCAGACAGGCAGCTTCAATTTGCCTATATCTAATCTGTCTATAACATTAATCTCATATGTCTGATTTTGTTACAGCTGCCTTCAAATGTCTCCGATCCTCGCTGTCCTTATCTGATTAATCTGTGGGAAACCTTTGGATCAACTCAAGCCATTAAACTACTATCACACTGACTTCACACCCACATGGCGTGAGACTGAAATTGATATTATCATAGAGTGTAAGTGTCATACTGCACACAATTCAAGCTGAACATTTACTACGTTAGGTGGCACTACAGAGCACTCTAATGTTCATTTAATTTTCAGAATATAATATAAGTCTGTGCTTGGCTGTATTTGCTTTCAAAGACCAGAGGAATAATTCAGATGTCAGTATATACAAGAGAGGGATCTGATCTTCACCCAGGAGAGTAGCATGTTATTTGAAGAAGAGAGGGGGTATTAAAGAGAAATATCCACCTTAAAACATGATGCTCATTTATTATTCCTGTGATCCCTCCAGGCTCACTTATTATCTGTGAACATGAACATCTCTCTACTACAGCTAGTGTAAAATTAAGAGGAATCAGCTTTAAGTCGGACTCATGATGGGTCGGTCGTCTATGAAATCCCTGTAAGCTATTTTTTTCCTTTTCTCTAACTGGCTTACTGATGCTGATGTCCATGCCTCGAGGGCTGTTTGATAAGATTTGATCAAGACATAGAATTTAAATTGCTTTCAAATAAAACATGCATTGGGGTTAAAGTGGAAATTAACTATCATTTCTCATGTAGATCGTTTTTACTCTTTCTGCAAATCAAGTGGATTTTGGCTATAACTTCATTGGCTACTACTACTAATCATATCTTTACTCAGTATACTGTCTTTTTGTCTGAGATGGAAAAGAAATGGCAGGCATTTTCCTGACCCTGTGTAAAAGATATAAACTTTAATGCTGTTGTTTACTAGGATCCCATTATAACCGCTTTGACCCATTCTCTAAACACTACTAATTGTTTGCCGTATTGGTTATGTAGGAAAAATAAATCTTTTGTTGAACACACCTTCTAAAACCCCAAGATGCACAGTCAAGTGGTATCCTGTAAAGTGAGTTAGCAAAGTGTTCAACTGAGGCAGGAAGTAGGAGAAACTGCTCCAACTAAAGTTCTTTGCTTTTATGGGTCATCCATCCTACGTAGGCTATTCAGTTTCTCTTTAAAAAACAACCCAGACATCTAATATTGGCCCACGGTTGAGGAAACATGAGAAAATAGGAACAAGGAGATAGCATTAGCAGGCACAAGCACTCACACGCACAAACAATTACATGCATACCAACACACACCACTGTACTTACACAAACCCATCTACAAACACACACACACACACAGCATCATGGTAAATTACCTCCTCAGCTCTATAGGAGCCTGCAATTTAAGGGTGTCAAAGTCAAGGTGCAACATGAGACTGCCATTAATAATAGCCCCAGCACTGCCTCTGCCGGTGCTAACGAATGCAACACATTAACACACATCCTCGAGTCACACAACAACCCACCCACATTCACACGCACACACGTTTGAACCATCCACGGAAACATCAAAACAGGATATGCAAACGTAAAAATGAAGATGTGTTGCAAAGAGGTACTTACAGTGCGCTTACTCATGCACCACCACACACACTTCAAATTGTCAGTCTACAGAAGCTTTAAGAGCACAATGTTTAAAACATGGAACTACTGTTAGGGCATGGTGTTAGCCTATACTTCTGGATTAGCATGTTTTCTGAGGGCTGGTCGAAGGGGGGGGCAAGAGCCATGGCTTTAAGCAATACTAATGCTCAGCTGAGATGAGCGGTCTGACAACAAGGCTACAAGCCTTGTGAATAAACGATGAGTGCACAAGCCAGGGGGCAGAGGTAGCGGTTATTTCAGCATGATGACCACGCCGACCTCTCAAACTGCTCACACACACACACACACACACACACACACACACACACACCAATATATATACACATGACAGGCAAACACACTACGTTGACCTTTTACTGTACTCTGTCCCTCTGTACTGTTCAGACAGGACAGCACTGGAGGTCTGCCAGACTGGAGACCGCTTCATCCATGCCCTCCTGGTGTGTGCACAAGCACACACACACACACACACACACACACACACACACACACACACACACACACACACACACACACACACACACACACACACACACTTAGTAGACAGAGCTGGGGGAGTCTGCCAAGCAGAGGAAACCTTATGTCAATCAAGTGTCAGGGCACCCAGGGGAGAAGTATATCAGTCCATGGGTGAGACACTATAAATAACCCAGCCCACCTTTGGAGTCAGGGTCACACACACACAGACACACACCTATACACACACACACGTTACCATACACACAAATACATGCACATACACTCATACTCTCATGAGATTGATAAAATACCTTTAGAGAAAGACAGAAAAGCAACTATTTTACAAAAATCTTTGCGATAATCTCAAAGTCAAATGTTTTTGAGTGTCAAGAGACAGAGGCACAGAACAAGTTAGAACTGATTAAGGCCTGAATTGTTCCATTAGTGTCTCTAATTCAGAGCAAACAACTTCCTTCATTTGCTTCTTCAAACTAACAATCATACACACAACTTAGACACAAGTTTGTAAGTTTGTATTCTTTAAGTTTGCATGCCCTTTGGATTTGACGTGGGAGTGAAGTGACCCTGACTCACACTAGTCTGTGATGAGCGTTTTTTATTTGTATAAAGACTTAAAGATTCAGATAAGAGTCAGATTCAGAATCAGTCATTTTAGTCTGTGATTTCCTCCCCCTTACCCCACTGGTAGTTACAGTCTCAAATACAAACTGTTTATAAGCAAACCTGTTGGTCCTCTCTGTGAATCATTTTACTTTTGTTTCCTGTGTCAAAGTAATGACTTGATTTTCCCTTTGAAATATCCTTGTTTATTAAGAACTGAAATTTGGCACTGGCTCAGAAGCTGTCCGGAACAATAACTTTGTTACTGAGGAGAATGACAAATGTTTTATTGTCTACCTCCTCAATTATTAGTTCTTTTAATACTGAGCTATAAAATTATGTCACTGATATGGGCAGGTCCTGTTTAAGTCTATTAATTAAAAACTGTTGGCAAGCACCTTGTGAGTAACTACTTAAACAGCTGGAGAAAACTGAGCACAGACTTCTAGGTTAACAAAAAACATCCCTGAATTTTACTTTCGAATCTTTGTAACCTTTGTAAACCTTTGTACTCTCATATATGTCCATGCACACTCTCAAATCTTGACTTGAGTGACTTGTTTTGTACTTGGTCAGTAGATTTGTACTGATTTGCAAAACCTCAGTGTTGAAACATGACAATCTGCAAACCATCCAGACCAAATCATGCTTCTTCATTTGATCTATCAGATTGATGATTCTAGAAATGGCAGGAGAGAGGAGAGGAGAGGAGAGGAGAGGAGAGGAGAGGAGAGGAAGTCAGCCTGACCAAGCTGGTTTGGGTCGGATCACAAGGTGGATCATAGAAAGGGTTTTTACTAACACATGCATCCCTTTTATAACCTGTTTTTAACAGAACGGTGGCCAGCAGCAGAGCAGAATCAGCTGCTACGCCGGCAACATGCACTACACATCTCAGCACCCATCATCATCACCATCATCATTATCATCATCATGATTATTATCATCATTATCAATGGCGACTCCATAGCAAGGGGAGAAACAAGGGAACATGCCGCTACAGTTAATCTTGTCATTTCTGGGGAGGCTCATGCGAATGAAGAAAAAGGGCAGTGGAGATGAGGCCTAAGAAAAGACTTGGCAGAGCAATGTAGTTATGTCATGTGTGGAGTCATTCTCAGTGTTTCTCCCTGTTGCTGCTGACACACCACCTCCACCTGAATGCATGGCAGCAGGCAGCGGAGGAAAGATGTGGAAACAAAACAGCGTAGTTGTGACTGTGTGAGAGCGACCAACAAAAAAAAAAAAAAAGAAAGAAAAAAAGGGTTATAAACAGAAGGGAAGAGGAAGTCATACTTTGGGCAACGGCGTTTCGGATGACCGGACTTTCTTGGGAGATATCTGTGAAGAGAGCAAGAGAATTATTTTCTTGTTTCCCCCTCTTCAGAGATATCTCCTGTGGCATATTGCTGTTCTCTGTTACAGGACTTTTGTGGATGTCTGATCATGTATTTTCCTGTCAGCGGGACCTGTAATTGGTTCCTCAGAGGCTAATATATAAGTTAGCTTGGTGATTAATGCTCATAATAGTGCGTTTAGTCTTACAGTTTTAGATGTATTCAAATGCAACCAAGTGCTGCAGTGCTTTATGTCAACTTTCAACGTCAAAAATGAGCAATTCGTTTGAAATTGACATGTTTATGGGGCGGGTGTTCTTTCTAGGTATTATCAAGGTCAACAAAAATGGTGTAAGCAGGTGTTGTAACACACACAGGAAAGGGTCCTACATTTCATAGCTGAAGGGCAGTGGGTCACACATGCAGCATGACGGGACCACAGACAGTACAATGGAAGAGAAAAAACACCACATTTTTAGGAAGTGCCCCAGTGAAGACCCATGAGGCCTATTACAACCTCCAATACCTCCAGTATGCATGAGAAGGGCCTAAAA